CTACAGCATGGCGAAACACCTGATTAAAGAGCCTATGATAGAAAAGGATGAAGCTCTCATATATGTAAAGGGGCTTGAAAAACGACATTGGCTAGCTGATATACTCGACAGCGATGATGTAATCGTTGAAACTCTGGATGCGCATTACAAAGATGTATTATAGAATCGCTACGTAATCTAGATGACTGTAATACTATACGATGTGGACGACACGCTAACAATTGTTCTTTGCAAAATGTATTTAAGATATTCAACTAGTGGTCTCAACGCCAGAAAGAATTGTAAGACTTTTTAAATAAATGTATCACATTAATACATTTTATTTTTTTTTGTTACCCGAGTAGATATTTAAATAAATATAGCGCATAAAGTTGAAAATGGACCGATAGCGGTCTGATTGCGGTTCAATAACTGTTTGAAAGCTGTTTGCAGCTGTTTAATATCGGTTCGATAGCTGTTCGATAGATATACGTTTAATTGCGCTTCATTGAAGCGCTGCGAGTGATAAAAATGCTGAGGTGGAATCTTTCGAGCGCAACGTCCTCTCATATACTTTTGGCTGAGACATATGCTTTCATCCGAGGCATTATACTCTTTATTACTGACATTGATGATGACGATGATGATCTAATTATAACTCATAAATTCTGAATTTTATTCGTGGAATTATTCAAACGTATGATATACTTTTTGGCTGAGATATAAACTTTTGACCGGGGCGTTGTACTTTTATCCGCCGATATAGCATTGATTTAATTATAACGGTTTAATTATAAAATGCTGAAGTTTCTCTATGGAATCTTTCGAACGCGTGATAGACTTTTCAGCTGAGGTATAAACTTTCGACCGGGGTATTGTAGTTTTTTCGATAATGCTGTATACTTTTTGTCGGAATGGTGTCATGTTATAGCGGCCATCTTTACTATAAAAATCTGGCACAGTCCCAACGATCAGTCAGTCTGTCAGTCTGTTAGCCTATTAGTCAACCGGTTAATCCGCGTGAGCCGCTCATCTTATTATCAATGGCTAACTTTGACGCTTTAGTGGAGTACGTGACATACATCAACATACAGGCGCGTATGTTGTTGGAGAAAGTGGCTCAGTTGTCCGAGGATACGCTGAACTTGCGAGCGCAGCCGTCGAACAGCCTGACGGATTACGGGTGACTTTGGACATCAGTCATGAGAATGAGCTGATGAGAAAAGTGTAAGTATTACATTATTATTGTAATAATAATTAGTAGGATATATTAATAACTAACGCATTCGAACGATACGTGAAAATATCAGTATTGAGATTTAATCTTGACAGAAATAATTAATGAAACTTAAACAGTTTAATGGATTGAATCCCCAAATTTATTCAAGATAATATGATGGTCTAATATTGTCGAAAATTATGATGTTGCTATTCACTCGTTATTAATTTCATATTTCTTTTCTTTTCCAGACATGGCACAACCGATGCCATCATGAGAATGAATAGATTGTTTGACGTCTTATTGGAAAGGACGTGCAAATTGGAGAGTGAGGTGGCTGAGGTTACTAATCGGGTGAAAAGGAGGAGGAGGGAGGCGGTCGAAGATGACGATGTGACTATCATATTGGAGCGGAAGAGGAATTTATATATAATATATATATATTAGTGCAGGGAAAAAGAACCGAGTAACATTGCAAATTGACACCCGCCCGCCCGTCAGTCATTTGCACACAGGTGAAAACCGATACCGCGAGTACCCGTATCATACTGATGCTCACTTCATAGTTTATATTAGTACCCACATTGCACGGGTACTCGCATGAAACGGCAAACGCATCATATTACGAATAATTTAATATAACAAAATAGCTAACGCATAGAAATATTTAAAAATTTATAAAATGTGTAAAATAATTGTTATAATAATATATTTTACTACAAAATTTGTTAAGATAAGATTGAAATT